GTGTGTGTGTGTGTGTGTGTGTGTGTGTGTGTGTGTGTGTGTGTGTCTGGGCGAGGGAAATTTTCCGGTGGAAAACGGGCCTAGAGGGAGACCCCCCGTCGCCCATATGTGGCGCGGCCATCAAAAGCAGATTAGACGGCGAGGCAAGCGGCCGTGAGAGATTGTGTCTGGGAACACAGCCGGGAACAAAACGCGTGATTTAAGCAGCGGCGTTGGGGATGAGGGAGATGGGGGGGGGGGGTTTGGGACCGAGCCGAGCGACGAGCCATCGAGCTGATACAGATTTACATTGTGGAGAATTCAATTTGCCCCCCCAACTCCTCCCCCTCGGCTCATCAAACTGCTTCAGATTCACACGCCACCGATCCAATTTGTTTGTCTGCGCTCATCAGGACGTAACACCGGGCTTACACACTGTAGGACCCATCCAATTTGCTCCTCCAGTGCCGCGCCGGCTAACTGTAGCGTGGCACGGCGGGGCCCTCCTCCCGGAGCACGCCGGCGCTCTAATGGCAAAATAAACACGCGCGCAACGCCGGGGCCCTCGGTTCATCCCATTTGCCGAGCTCTGATAGCTTAATTGGACTTTTTTGTGCTGAAGCGGGTCTTCTGGTTTCGGCACGTTCTCGAGATACTATGATGCCGCAATCTGAACCCGTGCTTTCGCCTCCTCTAAAGTGACTTGGACAAATGCAATAAAAGGGCTTGTTTTTTAATCTAAGTATCCTTTTTATTGAAAATCCACTGAGACATGTAATTGGCTAACACTTATGTCAGCACCGGGCGGGGACAAAGTGGCATTTGTCATCTGGGAAACCAGGAAGTTCTTTACAAATCAGCGTTTCTCACAACGTTTAAGAGGAAAATACTCTCTTTTTTTCCCGGGAAAATGTTAACCAGCTGGTGGATCAAAGGGGGAAAAAAAAAGAGGAGGGGTTGAAAATCCCCAAAGTCAATATCGTGAGGAGAAACGTCCGCGTAGGGATTCTTCTATTCGCATTCCTAGGAATCTCCTGATATGAGCTTTTACGAGGGAAGGCTTCAGGTTTTCCTGTTCCGCTTGGAAGTCCGTCGGCTTTTTCCCAAACACCCGTCATTTGTTAGGAGTGCAGCTTTCTGTCGGAGGCTGGCCGAAGCAGCAGCGGCTTATTAATCACCGCCCGCCGGGGCGTTAAGACGCTGTGGGCCGCATCTGCCGCGTCCTCTTTCCTGCCCGTGTTGTTATTTATAGAGGAATTTGGCCACGTCGCGTTTAAAAATGGGAGATGTCACCAGAAAAACCTAAGGAGACCGAGAGGGGAGACTCCAGCCAACCGCACATGAACAGGGGCCGTGCGGAGAGACGTTTCTGGGGTGTTCACGCTGCGGATGGCCATCACATGGTCAGGCAGGACGTCAGCAGTGGTCAAAGAGCCTCCACAGAGGCTCCATTTCCTCACTTTACTGACCGTCTACTGATCTACAACAATGGGGGGTGGGGGGCAATCAAGACAACACAGAAAATCCCAGGGTGCCAAAAACGCTGAGGGATGGTGTTGCCAGGTCTCATTCATGTGTCCAAGGATTAAAAAAAACCCAACCAGACCTCTTACATCCCTGTTAGACTTTTTTTTTAACCTTCTACACTCTGCAGGATCTCTAGGAGTTAAAATGAGTAGGATAAACCTCCTCAAAAACAGCTTCTGCATTACTCAAAAACACTGCTATGTAAAATATGCCTTATATGTAGGCCCTTTAAGTAAAAGTTAAAGTGGAATATTTTGAAGTTCCACCTCTACTGTTGTACTCTGTAGTTCATGGTCTGGAAAAAGGGTGTACGATGGCAATGAATTTTCCTTTTTTTGGTGAAGATAAAAAAACAGAAAAGACATGATACGTGAACACAGCCTCCCACCGGTGATACAGTAAGCAAAGGTCAGCGGTGTGCGTTGTGGTCGTCTTTGCGCACTATCACACTGACCCCCCCCCCCACCATCCCAGCACCACCTCCCAGGTGTACAAACAGACCTGCAGGGAGCCCCTTAAAGAGGCAAAAGAAGTGCCCCGCCTCCAATTAGCATTAATAACACTCAAACCATGGGGGAAATGCAAGGAGGTTTTGGTATGCTAATCGAAGGGCTAAATAAGTGATCCGGGGATAAAAGGGAGCCCGGAGAATAGGATGAGTGGAACAGATAGAAGACGGGCGGGCGGAGGAGAGGGGATAAGACGGATCAGACAGAGGGAGGCAAAGTGAGGGTGGAAAAGAGCAAAGCCTTCAAAGGGCTTTCGGGGAGCAGCTCCACTTCAGGGTGGCCCCAGTGCTCCTGCTTCCTGAGGGGAAGGCTCCTATCAGGGACTCTGTTGTAGCTTTATTGACAAACAAGCCCGCAGTCTCTTTGGTGTTAAAGAGAAAAGAGAAGAAAAAAAAATCACCCCCCCCACCAGCCTACTTCAAACAATGAACTGCCTCTGCATAGCCACCTACCCCGGGAACTTCAACAAGGCAAATTTGCGACGTTCCGTCATTTTTAATGGCAGCCGGCAGTCGTAAAACCCGATTAAAATCACTCCACAGCCATTAAAGTCCCATTCCCTGTCCGTGTTGTGTTTGTAGCTGTGCGTAGGTGTGGTTTGTTCCCTTTTTTTCTTTTTTTTCTTCCCTTTATCGCGCTAACCTTTGGTTCCAATAGGATATCGCTAATCCTAACGTGATGGCAAACAGGCAAACGGCGAGCTGGGTCAAAAATAATGATTAATGAGTCCGATTAGCGAGATCACAAACTTATCAGGGAGTTTAAAAGCGTGAGAGGGCGTGTGGGCTGTCAGCTCATGTCAAGCCCTTATTTCCCAATGAAAGACTAATTATGCTCAATAATGGTCTAAGCTGATAACTCCAACAGATGTGCGACGAGAAAGTCAGGCGAGCTGCGATTCATTCAGAAATACAGACGAAAACAAACGCACCCGGACCAGGAAAACATCCAGAACGCTTCAACATCTCATTGAAACAAGCCCAAGTCATCAGCCTACCACTGCCGTGCCGAACAGTTGGGATGAGGCGTTTGTGCTGATATGCTGCATCTGAGCCTGTATTCCTGTATTCAGATGTAACATTAAAAAAAAATCTACAAGCAATGGAGACCGTTTTTGATAGCTTTAGGGTGGGGGGGGACTTCTTCCTTGTCCCTTTGAACTGTGTCAATGTGTCATCTTCTTTTGAATTGAACTAATTCCATGACCGGTTAAAACAAGATGATTTCTTAGGTCTCTTACTTAAATCCCGACATAAGTAAGTCTTTCCTTTTCCTTTTTGTTCACTTATTTTTTTAGGGGTAGATGGACATTTAATTTAATTTGCTTAGAGGTCAAATGGATTTGCTTTTATCCTGTGAGACACTTCCGTAAAGCGAGTTCTTTTCGGAAGATAAAATTAGTTTTCATCCTCATAGTTGACCAATTCTTTCGTACAATAATTTTTTTTTTTACTCTTTGTTTAGGATATCACAGTTTCCCGGCTATGAATCTATTCCATGACATTTTTGGGATAATAAGTGTGTGTACAGTGGTAGGCCGAGACCCTCCGGCTGCCGTCCAGAGCTCCTTCATTCATGCTCGGTTCGGGGTTTAATGTTTGACTTGGCTGCCGGCACATTGCTCACATGCACTGCTGCCGTGTCAGCCTGTTTGTCTCCCAGCAGTAAAAAGTGGCGAGGTGAGCACAAGCCCTACCTATTGTGTGTCACTGGGCCTCACCCGCCAGTGGGAAGGGCTGGCTTTATATACATAGCGAGACAGTTATTGGTCCTCATAATGTGAGGCCAGCCACTCCAGACTTCCTTGTCCTACATTGCCTTATCTCCATTACCATTATCATCCATTAGACATAAAGGCAAAGTGACGGGCCAAACAGCAGACCATTTACCGACCGAGTATTTAATGAGGGAAATATAAACTTGGGAATATAGGTAGGGCAGGAAGCCAAAGATAAGAATTGATGTATTAGAGACTTGAGGTCAGGGGTGATAAACAGCTTGGTGTGAGATGTTGGGAGTGTTCACCGAGCACTGTGGGGCGGGCTGGGGAAAAAAAAAAAAAAAAGGAGAAAAAAAAGTCAGATGCGGTGGGTTTCGAACAACTCACTGCCTCTCCATCCCTGTTTGTTTGCGGTCGTCGGGGGAGCCTTGGCAAAACACAACACAACGCGCACGTCCGCGCGCAGATTCGGAAAGATCAGCCCCGGTTCTATCAATAAAGCCCAATGTTTGCTTCACTTTGTGGGGCCGGGAGTTCTCGCAGGCACAACATTGGCACAGCGGAGCACAAACAGAGCGAAATGCCATCGGCAGCTCTGACGATTCCTGCCTTCAGCTGCTCCCAACGAAGACCAGGAGAAGGGGTGGGGTGGGGGGGGGGGGGGCACAGATGGCATGCGTTTAATCTTTTATGTGAAAGAGTGTTTTTAACAAAGCGAGCGTCGTCTCAATGCTCGGCCCGTTGTGGCCCCTCATCTTTTCCCCCTAGCCGGAGTGATGGACGCGCTGCTGGTCCGGAGACAATGTCCCCCGTTCAGCTGACCGGCCCGACGCAGGCCCCCCGCTCGAAGCGAATGACGCAAAGCCAAAGGGCCAGCGGAGCCGAGTGCACGCGCAGAGAGACGGGTGAGGTCACTCGCGCGGGCCCTCAGAGGCCAGGGCCGTGGAGTGGACAGCCTTGTCCGCCCAGACAACGGCGGCCACTGTCCGCGGGAGAGCCATCTGTGGGAGCACTTCCTATGAGCTGAGAGCAGTCTCCTGGAATTCTCCACTTGGCCCCCATCGCATTTCCCTCTCCCTGTTTTTTTTAAACACGTAGAGCCACGCTGAAGTCGTCTTTAGTCTTAAAGGACGCAATTGCTCCTGGCAGTTTTAAAAACCTCCTCCTTCCTCTTTCTTTTTCGACACCGGTCTGAGAATGTGGCCGAGTCGCCGTTGGCTTGTCCTCACAGATGTGGAAAACACATGCTAACATGCCTAGGCCGGTCAGGGAGCGCTTCCCATCAGTATCTGCCTCCGAACACTCCTCACCTCCTGACCTCTGGGCCACACCGGGCTATGTCCGTGTCTAGACTTGACAAACACTGAAGCT